ACAGCATGCATGCATGCATACATGCATACACACGTACATACATACGTACATACACACGTACATACATACGTAAATACATACGTACATACATACATACATACATACATACATACATACACACACATACGTACTAACATACGGACTAAAATACGTACTAACATATCAGCTAACATGCCAGTGCTCCTTCCTCCTTCCCTTCAACCCCCTTGTTATAAACCCCAATATAACCGCTATATAGCCCCACCAAAGTTCAAAATATACCCTATTATGATATAATAGTTTCCACTTTCTTTTCCATTATCCCTTTATCACCCCTATACAACCCCTATTCCCCCTACATTATATAGTAGTTTCCATTGCTTTTCCATTATCCGCTATTATATAACCCTACATAATATAATTCTTTCCATTTCCTTTTCCAGTATCCCCTATATAACCCTATATAGCCCTATAATATACTTGCTTCCGTTTCCTTTTCCATTATCCCCCATATAACCCCATGTAACCCTATATAATATAATTGTTTCCGTTTTCTTTTCCATTGTCCCCCATATAACCCCACTGTAAACCCTATATGATATAATTGTTTCCATTTCCTTTTCCATTATCCCGTATATAGCCCCTGTATAACCCTACATAATACAGACCCTAAACCCTACACCCTAAACCCCCTAAACCCAGTAGTTTCCATTTCCTTTTCCAACCGGGTCCCGAGCCGTTAGGGCAAACTGGGGCTCGGCTGCGGTCGCCTTGATCTCTGTGGCCCGAGAGGCCTCAGCACTGGAATTGGAATTGGGGTCTGAGGGTCTTTTGTTACCCTATGCGTGTGGGGGCCTGTCGGAATTGTGGTCCCTTTTTGGGTCCCTATTGTGGTGCGGGGCCTAATACGGGGCCTAATTTAGGGGACCCAAAAAGGGACCATAATTTTGACAATCCCCCATTTCTTATCCCCATATAATCCCCACATAACCCCTAAATAATCTTTATATGATCCCTATACAACCTCTAGAGGCTTCGGGGCGTGAGTTCATGCTCGCAAGGGCAATTTTCAAGGCAACCGAGGAGGGCTTGGTTGAGGTTGAGGGTGCGGGTTGAGGGTTGGGGTACAGGGGTTGCCCTGCAAGGGCAAGAGTCCCTTGGCCGAGTACACATTACAAATGTCCTTAATCTGCAGGTGTTCACATGAAGAGGGTCAAGTTTAAGACCGCCGCCGTGGCAGAACCCTTCTCGAAGACCTGGTATGGCCTGGCGATCTAGAAGTAATCACGCAGCTGCTGGCAATCATCAGGCTGAATCTGCTGCTCTGTGAGAACCTCATGCAGGACTCAGGGACTCGCGACTGCCTCAGACTTTAAAACACATGGTAGGGCGTAGTAAGACAGGGTCTAACCCCGACTGGTGCAGGGGTTCAAGGCATCACGGTTGGCCCGGAGACTCTAGTGCACGAGCCAAGCGAACCGTTGTCGCTCCGCGTTCATGCCGAAAACGCAGACGCACTGCTTTAGCTAGCAGGTCTGCTGTTGCAATAAATTCGAATTTCACATGCCAAATGCACGACGTAATCTTAATTGAAGGACCTCCTACCAAGGACCGACCATCCTTGCGTGGGAAAAGTGCAGGAGCGCGAAGCGCTACAAAACTAAAAGCTCAATGAAGAGTATTAGGACAATGCCGCAGCTGGCCACGGAAAGTGGCTAACATGCCAGTCTAATTGCCTACCTATGCATCTCACTGACCTGGTCTTGCAACCAATCGCAAGGACCTTTTCCGGCTACGTGTCCTGCATCAAGCACCCCTACACAAGCCCCACCCTTGTACCATCCCTAAATAACCCCTAGATCAACGTCTAGATCAACGTCCATACATCCCCTGTATACCCCTTATATAATCCCTATATCAACCCCTATATAACGCCTATATAATCCCTGTATGACCCCCATATAACCCCTGTATAATCCCTATATAACCCCTCTGTAACCCGAATATTATCCCCTATAACCCCTATATAATCGTATAGTACCGCTATATAACCCCTTTATAATCCCTAATATAACCCACATAACCCCTATAATCCCCAGATTACCCCTGTAGGTCTAGAAGCCTTGCTCTGTACCTTCTGACCCAAAAGCTCCCGATGCGGAACATTAAATTCCTTCCTTCTACATACTACCTGAACCCCAGAAGTATCTAAAATTACAACCTTCTAGGTGCTTTTTTTTTTAAGGATTTTGGGCTATTATCTTACATACTTTTCGGGTCCAGGTAACAACATCCCATACCCTATATTATCGTGCCCAAAACAGACAAACCCTAAAGGGGATTCATGAGTAGCGCAAGGGTGAGTGTCACCACAACGTCCGGGTGCCTCCAACAGCGTGCGGCCCAACTGACTCATACGCTGATTGTGCCGTTGGCGTCTGCGCCATGGGCTGCTGCGCCATGAGGTGCTGCGCCATGAGGTGCTGCAACTTTGGCGCTGCTGCCCTTGCTCACCTCAACAACCAGATAGTAAGAATATGAGCGGTTAAGCAATTCAGCATGCTTTCGCGTTTTGCGTCCACACTCGCTATATGTAATCCCTACGATCCCTATATAATCCCCATTATATCCCTGTATATAACCCATATATAATCCCTATTATGTAGTTCCTATGTAGTCCACATTCAATAGCAGCAAAACATGACAAACTACCAACAATGACAGTGAATCCAGTATCAGTGAGGCATGAGCCCAAAGCTTCTATTATCATTGTTACTATCATTAGTAGTATATGGGGGTTTACAAAAATTAGGGGTACCTTTTTGGGGGTCTTCATAATAAGGATTAAAATATATTAGGGCCTATATTGGGGTTCCCCTATTTTGGGAATCTGCCATATCAGTCCTCTTATGATTCTTACTGTTATGATTACGAACATTCATCTTGTTGCTGTTATTATTACAGTCCGTGGAGCCTGTTGAGAATGCTGGCTGTAGGCATTCTCAAAGCCGGCCTGCGCAACGTCAACTGCAGGAGTGTTTGTTGGGGTCCGGGTTTAAGGGCTTGGGGGACCCCAACCGGGAAATGGAAAAGTAAGAAGGCTGCTTCTGCCAGGGGTATTCGTCTCTTGTAGACCCGTGCCTCGACTTCACGCAGGGCCTCTATCATGTGACCCATCTCCGTTTCCAAATCGCCGACCTTCTACCAGGAGCGACTGAAAACTGACACACCCACAATCACCCACATATCCAAAAGGCCTATCATCAAATTTATGGCAAGCGGCCAGCTGACGATCACCTCCAGCCTCGATGTCGTTGAGGCGGCCGTTCATTTTTGCGATGGCGTCCTTGATTTGCTTCAGGTCCCCTTCGAAGCGATGCCTCTCCATCCTCTTGAGGTAGTGCTTCAGAAGCTG